TATTTTCTGTTTTATTTTTTTTCTATATTTTTAAATTTTTAATGAAGATATTTTGAGTTTTTATGTACTTTTGCCTCACCGCGAACTGAGAACGGAATTAACTGAATGAGAAACACATCTATAGTGAAATCCGAGGAAATGCGTTCAAATGAAATGCAGCAAGAAGTGAGTATAATTTAACAATCTGCGCAAGGAAGTCATGTGGCGTACACATAAAATTTGTTTCAATGGCAAGCAGAAGCCATTTTTAGGCTTTCTCCACTACTAAGGCCAGAAGTGTTGGTCATTTTATTATGGAGGCATCTAATAGGTGGCCACCCATACCTCTTATGGGGACACAGAAATTTACATCCATGCCTTCTCCTGGATTCGAAGCCGGGCTCTTCGGTTTCGAAGTCGCCTCTGCTAACGACTTCACCATTTGGGCAGCTCGAGTTAGCTACTAATCTGCAAAAAGATGAGGGGCATCAATCATTACGTACTCACCGACTTGTGCAAAACTACCGCCGACTCTATAACGGGATGCATAATGGCAAACTGCACATTCAGTTGATCAATGCTAAGCGAATTTCACATATTGCGCATGCCCAGAAGAGAATTTTGCGTAATTACGACTTTGGTACAATTTTAAAAGAAGACAAATACGGTGTGTGGTTCTGTTATCTGGGCGTAAACAGTTCGCAGTTTAAATTACTGAATTAAAGTCAAGGAAATTATTATAAATAACTGATATTAAATATAATGTTTATGAACAAAATAAACCAAAATGAAATGAAACAGAAGCAAATGCATTGAGCACAAATAAATTACGGTAGCATTGTAATTGTAAATAGTCGATAAGACCTACATGATGAACAGGCTTGTGTAACGGTTGCTTATGCTTAGTCACCAGCACTTCTTGCCACGCCAACGGTACACCGCTGAGCATGCGCAGTAAACGAAATTCGTTAACGTTGATCAACTCAATGTGCGGTTTGCCATTACGCTAACGGGATACAAAGGGGTCACAAGTACGAAGGACAGGAATCGAGATAGAATATTTTCGGAAAAAAATTCGCGTTAGCGTCGGCTGCTTTTTTACTTTGTAAAATTGCTAAACTTTCACTAAGTTTAAAGACATGGCGTGATTAAATTTGAATTGTTGAATTTAGGTGAAATTGAAAAAAATCCGTATGGTCGATAAATGCTCGCAAGGATACCCATTTACTAATCCTAGCACCAATAATCTAATACATTTATCCATAAAAGTAGAAGGAATGTGTTATTGAAAGTGACCATCCATGTCCGAGTGTTTGAAACTTTATTGGTCTCTTCGGGGGAGAAAATGATCAATAACAGGTTTTGAGTTTGGTTTATGGAATTACGGCAAAGACGACCATGCAGGCAGTTCCTTCGCGGGATTCGAATCTTACACCAAACTATCAGTGTTCAGCGATTTTACTGCTCGATCGCTGGTGGGGCCTAACAAGGTTTCGAGAGTGGATGTCGTATGAATGAAAAGAGACCAATAGCGTTGGAACAAAACAAGAACTCAGGAGCACCAATAATATCCTTGGGATTAGGAAGTCGTAAATCGACGATATCCTGCTTTATAAAAGATTCTGAGGCAGGTATAAGAAAGAAAAAGAACACAGCAAAGAAAAAAGAGAACTTTACATAAATTGACTTCATTAATCCAAATATGAGCAAAAATTACCAACCAAGTCTTCGAGTTAATATTATTAAAAATTATAATTTTATTTGTAGTTAGTTACCTCCACAGACCTACATCTGATTCGAAAATATAGTTTCCACATTTGCAATCTTTTGCCTTGCAAGCGAAATGAAGCGAAGCAAAGAAATCTTTTCTTCGGGTCAAAGAAATTGTTTCACGCACGTGAAGTGGGCGTGGTAAATTTTCCTTACCCACCCTCTGAAGTTTCTTTGCCTGAAAGTAAAAATTTTTTTCTATCTTTTCAGAGCGGGTGAGATAAATTTACCATGCAGTGATAATCACGCAAATTTATCACGCAATGAGCGTGATGAGATTGAGCGTGTATGCGTAAATAAAATTATGTTCTTTTGCGAGTTAAAAAATGACTTGTTTATTTAAACGGTTAGTGATGTATGACGAATATCCTTAGGACAGAATACTAACATAAATGAGTCTGCCCCATCGTTCAAAAAGTTAATCTTCTGTCTAAAAGAATAATTCTTACAGTGTAATGTTTATTGCTGCCCAAATTTACTTTAATTTTTGAGATTTGCCTTGGAAATACATGCAGAGTTACGTACTGGTGATTCAGAAGTCTATTTACGAAGATTGCACAAAAATTATTTTGCGCCAAAACACGTCTTGTGTTATTCTGCGCAATAATGTGCAGGTCGCCGAGCTACGTTTCAAATTTATATAAGATCCATGTTGAATTTTTGCCGCGTCTCCGATTCTCTTTGTAAAATCTCCAAGAGACTACGCTTTGTTTTGCTGGAGCAAATTTGCTAGACAGAAATGATTTTATAAGGTATTTTCTCCTTTCTTCCAGCATACATTCGTGGTGTAACAGTTAACATACTCGGCGCGTATTCGAGAGGTCCAGGTTCGAGTTAGGGCGAGGGCAATGCACATTTTTTCGGCTCTTGCTTCATAATAACTTTGACTTTACAGTGGTACCCAAACTAAAAGGTGGTGGATGATGATTATTCATCACCAGGATTTAGTGATTGGATCCTCTAATTCCCATTCGCCTATTAAAAGGGGAATATATAATGTATTTTCTCTCGTTTTCCAACATGTCCTTGTGGTGTAATGGTTAACACACTTGGCGCGTATTCGAGAGGTCCGGGTTTGAGTCCCGGCGACGGCATTGCACATTTTTCTTGTCTCCTGCTTCTTAATAACGTTATGACTTTACAGTGACACCCGAACTCAAAGGTGGTGGACGATAATTTTTCAACACCAGAATTTGGCGAAGGGGTTCCGTAATCCCCAGTTGCCCTTTAAAATGTGGAGTATATAAGGCATTTTCTCCCTCCTTTCTGCATGGATTCGGGGTGTAACGGTAGCACACTCGGGTGTATTCGAAAGGTTCGAGTCCCGGGAAGGGACACCTCTTATTTTTCACTTCATCTGCTTAAAAATAGAAACCGGATATCTCTTGCATCTGGAAACATCTGAATCCAAAGCAGGGAGATTTTAAATCACATTGCATTAGTTGTATCTTATTCTGTACAACATTTAGATACAAATACAAAATTGGTGAAATATATACTTCCTTAAGGGGACTCGTACACCTTAAAACCCATAAGATGTTCGAATAGGTGACTGTTGCAAGAATTGGGATAACATATTTATTTTAAAAGCAATTACTACCAACATTTTACAGATGACAACATAATATAGCTGCTTTTTGAAATAGTAATCAGAAAGTTTGTGTTGCCACAAATATTTTTATAATTTAATCCGCTTTGTGACAACATTTTTCGTCATGTTTCCACCTTGCGCGCACAGTTTAAAATATTCTGTTGCATAATTTAATTCCATATTTAATATATAGCTTTTATAACGTCTGGAAACTACTGTGAACCTAAAATTCTAAAAATTTCATGTTATATTTTTATTTTATTTTGAGTTGAGTTTTATAAAATGTATTTTATTAAAAAAATTTTGTAATGTTTTCGTCCATAAAATTTTTCAACAGTACAATATTCATCAGATTGTTGGTTCAGTTAGAAAATAGTGCCCATATAAAGAATTCCATCCAATTTCAAGTATGTACCATTAGCCATTTTTAAAATATCATGCGCGCAAGGTGGATATATGGCAAAATATTTTGTCACAAAGAAGATTAAATTACAAAAATATTTGTGGCAACACACACTTTCTGGTTACTAGTTTTCAAAGCAGCTATATCATGAAGTCAGCTGTAAAAAGTTGGCAGTAATTGCTTTTAAAATAAATAAAATATCCCAATTCTTGCAATAGTCACATATTCGAAGATCATGAGGGGTTTAAGGTGTATGAGTCCCCTTAAAAGATGACAGTTAATTAAATATGCTTTTGCTGATTCCGTATGTGATTCCAGAACGTTTAGTTCATATCCTCTGCTGCATATTTTGTAATCCAATCGATATTAGTGAATTCGAGGTTTTGTAAAAAATCAGAGAAGTAACTTCTAAACAAACTATAGTTAATTGGTAAATTATTATTGTTGCGTGCGTACGGGATTGTAATACATTGAATACGCAGAGAACCTATGATAGCCCAATGAAATTAATTTTTACCGAAAGAAAACTTGACAATTCTAAAGCTTTATGCAAAAACACTTGTACAGCTATTATCAGTATTCCAGAGTACAATCAGAAGTTACACTTCAAACTACTAAGAATGTTAAATAAAACGCAGTGCAAAGCGTAAATAAAAGGCAATGCGCGCAATATTCTCAATACTTCGAAGCCAATTCTGAACGAAAAACTGAGAAATGGGGCTCTTTCCAGGGGTGGTTAGTATAGTTCTCCCCGCCTGCCGAGAAATCTTTAGTACCTTCCATTTCTCAAAATAACTATAAGGGATATACGGTTAAAGTTACATATATGCCGTTATATATCGTTAAATTATATACATATGCCGTTATATATCGTTAAATTATATACATATGCCGTTATATGCAATGTAATTTGTATGTTATTGGAAGGATACTATTACAGTATCTTTATTTTATTTTTCGACTGGAGTATTAATGATTCTTGTGTTAAAAAGTTCATCGTCGATAGGTAACTTTCAATAAGTGAAAATCTGAATATTCCACGTAGTAAAATTAAAGGCATTTTGACTGTTAACACCTACATGTTTTTATAAATATTGATTTGGAGTTAGATCTGTTTCATTACGGACTGCGTAGAATTTAATTTTAAGATCTTACTTTAAGAAATTATTGTGCTGAAGGTTTTTTTTTTTTTTTTTTTTTTTTTAAATGAGTAGATTTTACATTTAAGTTAGTAGTTTAGTTCAGAGATTCACTTACCTCCATCATACATGGCTTCCCTGAATTCATCGAAAAAACCCATTATCTTGGATGAATGTTCTGTGACGATGACCAACGCAGGGAAAAGAAAATTGCTAATTAATTTTGAATGCGTTCAGCGCAAACCTGTAAAAGAAAATCCCCAGTTAAAGTTGTAAATTTCATCTAATAATAAATGGCAAAATAAGTTATAATTATTACTCAATTCTTTACATTATTTAAAAAATTCTCACTCCCAAAAATACATAAAAACTCAAAATATCTATATTAAAAATAACAAAAGTAAATCTGAAACACTTATTTCCTCGAATAAGTTCCAGAATGGATTAAGCATGATTTAATTCGCAATAATAAATGAAGGCGTTGTCTCTGTTGTTGCGAAGCTTAGTTTCTCTAGATTGGCAACAAATCCGCTATTGCGCCAAGTTTAAAATGTAAACAAACATGTCCGCCATCGCAAAATTCATTAGGCTTAGCTGCACTTGAACAACTTTAAAATTGCTGATAGCTCCACAAATATTGAATGCAGATTCACTAAAGGCATGAAAACCTTAACCGGAAGATAGTAACAACATAATTCAGTCATTTTTAAAGTAAAAAATGCACAATTTACAAACACATAAGCATAAAGAAACTGAGATGAGACGGGTAACAGAGTGGATATACATATATAAATATATTTATATATAGACTAGAAGAGAAACACGCTAATGTGACAATCAAAACCGTGAAAAACAACCTTATATTTAGCGTAGGTATAATGAAACACTCAATCGATTTCGAGGGCAGCTAAGGTCCCTCCTCATCAGGAGAAAAGAAATACATAGAAAGAAGAAAATAGGAATCACAGAAACACGTGGTGCTTATCAGCACTGCACGTCGTTGCTGATAAGCACCACGTGTTTCTGTGATTCCTATTTTCTTCTTTCTATGTATTTCTTTCTCCTGATGAGGAGGGACCTTTAGCTGCCCTCGAAATCGATTGAGTGTTTCATTATACCTACGCTAAATATAAGGTTGTTTTTCACGGTTTTGATATTTATATATGTTTGGTGCAGCCGATTGCAACCAAAGTACGAGGTGCACATCTACATGTTATAGCAGTCCTATATACAAAATTTCAACGTTCTGAGGATACTCGTTTTTGAGTTATGTGAGATACGTACGTACGTACATACGTTCGTACAGACGCCACGAAAAATTCCCTTTAGAATTCATTTTAAAGCAGTTTTATAATTTTTTTGGAGGAAACGTGTCTCTTATTCTGTTCTTACGTACAGATATCACGCAAAAACATCGTTAAATTGCATTCGATAGCGGTCAAAATGGATATTTTCGTTGAAATATGCTGCCTGAAACTCGTTTTTGAGTTATGCGAGATACGTACGTACGTACGCACATACGTACGCACAGACGCCACGAAAAATTCTCTTTAAAATTCATTTAAAATAAGTTTTATAATTTTTTTGGGGAAAAGTGTCCTTTATTCTGTTCTTACTTGCGGATGTCACTCAAAAACATCATTAAATTGCACTGGATAACGTACAAAATCGATATTTTCGTTGAAATATGATACCCGAATTTTTTCGCGATTACAATACTTCCTTTTTTACTTCGTACAAGGAAGTAAAAAACAGCATATCTTTAGTTCCGATAAACAGGAATAAATAAGTAAGAATTTAGTTTAATATGTGAATAAACTGTATTAACATCAAGTGTCATCCACTACAAGTTTAACAAAATGTATTTGACCTTGAGTGAATGAATAAAAAGTATTTTATTAACGATTGAAAATTTGAACAAGCTATAGGGAAAGTGTGAGCTAATAGTCGGAATTTAAAAAGAAGGTAGCTCGAAAGATGAACTTGACATTCTGACTGACAAATAAATCAGCCATAGGCAAAATTCATCAAATCCTTTCATCCATAAATAATTTGAGATTTCTACATCCAGCCATGGGTAAAACTCGTCAAATTCTTTAGTTTCATAAATGTTTCGTTAGTTTCTTACTTCAGTGCCTCGATATCTTCCTAGTGAAACATAATAGTAGTTTGCTTAAAATAACTGTGCATCTTTGAACAATTAAAGATGGAGGTTAATTATATCAAGAAAAATTAATTATATCCAGAAACTGAGAATTTCAATTTAAATTTAGAGAAAGTGTTTTTTATCCCAAAAGGGATATTAGTCTCGAAGTGAGATTTTGCTTCGAATTACTAAAAATGCGTACATTCACTTTTCATTGGAGTCTGTTGCCATTCTGTAAAATGCATATTTATCTATCCAAATGAATCTGTCTGCTGCAGATTAACAAACTAAGCTTATTGAAAGCAGTAAATGCTGTTTTTAAGAATTTTTGTTTTCTGCTTATGAATTGCATGGATTTCGAACTTAAATAATAAAAATGCGTTTTGTTCATGATACAGCTATTTAAAAATATTGAATATTTTGATAGAATAACGTTATAAGTTTTTTTATTATGTATTTCATGTTTTGTAAAACTTAAAGGAATTTTTGGTTAAAAAAAATCCAAAATTTGAAAGCGAGCAGTGGCAACACTGTACGGAATAAAACATTTTTATATCCAGCGCGAGAAACTATCTAGCGGAAATTCTGAAGTTATGCTGTTTTTGAATATTTTGTGATTTTATTCTTGAATGGAATTTATGTAAGCGCCGAGAAAGTGATACTTAATAAATAAAGTAAATACACGAAACGTTAATAATAAAAAAAAACATAAAAAGTTTTGTGAAGCCATCTTAATAAAAAACTGAACATTGGTAGGGTGAACTGAAAAAAAAAAAAAAAAAAAAAAAAAAACAGAAAATATTGTACCAACACTCTATCGGGAGTTCTAAATGTATACTGCTATGTTGCTTTTAAATTTGTTTGGATTTTCCTGTTGAACTTTATATCGCGTAAACATCAAGGAAACTATGCTTAATATAAAGCTAAATATGGATAAGCAGGAGTGACTGCAAGAGCAAACTAAGTTTTCAGTGAGAGCATAACAAACCTTAACAAATCCTTTTGGGTAACTGTTGAAAACTACAAAGGCTGTTCATAATTTTTAGTCCAAAGGGGCAATTTGCTCAGAAGGACTATTAATTTCGTGTTGGCATTTTGCGTTGATTCACTTTCTACGCTGTTTCACGTTTCAAATTGTTGCCACCAAATATTATCGCCCTGTATTATATCTAAAAGAATTAAATAATGAATAATCTACATAAATGTATGTAATGATATTTTTAAATCAATTGATTAAATTAAATTCTATTAATATTGCTTAGTAACGTGTTGGCGATTCTCTACCTAAATTGCATCCCTGTTCCTAAATTTTGGCGAAATCCTTTCTTTAGTATAAAATATATTAACTTGTTGGCGCCCGCCAAATCGCCAAACTCATAAATCTGTCATATTACATACAGTCCTTAAGAATATGTATAAGTAGAGCTTCTGCTCAAGGTACGAGGAGAACGCTTGTGAGATGGATGCTAAAATAAACCTAACACTTTATATTCCAAAATAAATAACGGTACCTAGAGACATCAAACTTTGAATAACGTAATCTTCCATAGAATATGGACATGTGGAAACCCTCATTTGAATTTGTAATTTGTTTTATTATTGATTTGATATTTTGTAACACTTCAACGAATTTTTGATTAACAAATTCAAGGATTCCAAAACGAGCCATGACAACGTTGTACAGAAAAAACATTTTTATCTCCAGCGCGCTAGACTGTGTATCGGAAATTCTAAGGATATGCTTATTTTAAAATTATTTTGCGATATTGCTGTTGAACTGAATTTTATGGTTTAAATGCAAAGAACATGATATTTAATAAATAAGGTAACACACAAAACTTTAAAAAACGCCCTTTTGGACGCAATTTAAAATCTGAAACCTTTCAGATTTTTTTAAAGGCTATTTTCATTGTAATTACAGAAATATTTTACCTTAAAAATCTTATGTTTAAATATTTTATTTGATAACCCTTAATCTTGACTATCTTTATACACCGTGATTTTTAGGATAATAAAGCCTTTTGTAGCATCAGAAGAGGTATGTTATCTATCCTATTGCTCCCAAACAGCTTTCCAAAGTCTTAGGAGGTTATGTGAAAATTAAGACACAATAACACGTCGAACAGATACTAATTCAGAAGTCAAACAACAAAAATCAGCGTTATATTTTAAAACTTTCACAGGACTAGTTTCGATGGTTTTACCGAACCACCATCGTCAGCTGCAAAAGCGCAAGCAAGCAGTTAAAAATTTCTCATCTCAACACACTAAAAGGCACACTCTTGTTTTAGGAGATTATAAAAATTCTGTTGTCATTCCCTTCTTTCCACCAGTTAGCTATAAAGTTGCACGTATTTTGCAGAAATTGAACTTTCGGGTCGTTTATTCTCCCATCAATAAAATTCCGAGTTCCATACCCAAGGATCTAATTCCGGGTATGAATTCCTGGGGTATTTATAGGATTCCTTGCCAGTGTGGTTTAATTTACATTGGCCAAACTAAAAGAGCCTTAAAATTTCGCGTCAAGGAACAGGAGGCATATGTTAGGAAAAAGAAAACACAGAAGTTTTCTGTTGCCCAAACATTATTGGTCCGAAAATCACACTTTCAATTTTTCTGCTGCCAAAATTGTTTAAAAAACATCTTCCATTGGAGAACTGGATTTTCTAAAGGCATTTAACATTCAAAATAATCTTTCTGTTCTAGTTAACGATCCTAATTACAATCCATCTTTGCCTTCGACCTTTAAAGAAATTATGTTTTAGTTCTGGTTTCATCAACAGATGGCGCCACTAGCTTATTTTATATCCAGGCTTTCTTATCTGATCATTATATCTTTTTGCAGCTGAGGATGTTGGTTCGGTAAAACCATCGAAACTAGTCCTGTGAAAGTTTGAAAATATAACGCTGATTTTTGTTGTTTGATTTCTGAAATTAGTACATTGGTGATAGATAAGGAGATTTTAAGAGGAATGGGAGTGAAGGGTGATTGATGTCCAAAATACATTGGTGATAGATAAGGAGTGTTAGGAGGAATGTGAATGAAGGGCATGATGACCTTGAGACCCGTTTCTTGTTCCATTTTTTTCTAGAAAATG